ATTTGGCGCGTTGTTCTATTCGAGCGCCGCAGACATGATCCGGGTGGAGGGTTTGGGAGAAGTGTGATTCCCCTTCCCAAATTAGTAATTTTTTGAAAATAATAAACCACTAGACACTCATACAGGGCATCTCTTTTCTGTAGTTTTCTAATAGATTTTGTAATAATTTATTCTGGTAACAATCCCTTATGTGTATCTACCTGTATCTATCTGTATTATGTTCATTATATATCCGACTACATTTACTGTACATTGATATGCTTGGTTAATGAAAAATTACTATCGTCGCAAAAATCTGGTCCGGAACTGCTGTATCATAAATTAGTACTAGCTACATATTTTTTTTCAGTAAGAATTTGTATGCAGAACCCATGGCCATTTAAATTGTAGCTCTTGGGTACTATATAAACCCTTCTCTTTTGAGGCAACTAAAAATCAGACCCTTCAAGAGCTAGAAATACAAATAGTGAGTGGGCATGTCACTGGTAGTCTCTAATAAGGCAGAAAGACTCAACATACGAAGCCCAGCATAAAACCTAATCTCACAGAGTGTACAAATTCCATTCCAAAGTTAATAATAGATCTATGTGGTATTTAGTATCTTGCCATTCCAAGTACATCATTACACTGTACAGTTAAAACTATATCAATGTGAATTTTCAATGTTTTTAAGTTCACTATAAAGATAGTAAAGTGTTGTATTTGAATCAGAATGACAAGAAATATTCAAGTTTTTAATTTTTGATTACACTCTTTCTTTACCTTTTTTTTTTTAGTCTCAAAATATTGGCAGTAAACATAATGTAACAGCCAGACCATTTGGTGCTGGAGATGCTGTTTCTCCTGGTACAGCGACAGTGGTACATAAGCAGTTTAACTCTCCCGCTGGATTGTATTCCGCCTCAAATATTGCCGAGACATTTAAGGGACAGACGGAAGGACTAATCGCAGGCCACATGCTTGAAGGGTAAGCAATGGGTCCCAATCTGAAAGTCGTGACAGTCTCCCAGAAATTGGGAAGGCCTCCCACTAGCAAAAAAGACCTCCCGGGAACAATAACCCCTCTCCTGCAAATGCATGATATTTGCGTGTCTTTACTACTGTTATATCAATTGTCTCCTAGATGTCAGTCCTGATAGGTGTCACCTTACACAGGGAAATAAAAATGGATGCGTTAAAGCTTTGTCAACACTATCAAATTTTGTGTGACAAAAAAATGTGATGTGCCCATATATGGGTGCGATGACATATCACATACAGTACTATCAAACTGTATCAAAAAAAGTTAAACATGTTCAACTCCTATTTTCCATCACATTTTATGTGATGCCTTTTTGATGAAATTTGATAGGGAACAATAACCCATCTCCTGCAAATGCATGATATTTGCGTGTCTTTACTACTGTTATATCAATTGTCTCCTAGATGTCAGTCCTGATAGGTGTCACCTTACACAGGGAAATAAAATTGGATGCGTTAAAGCTTTGTCTACACTATCAAATTTTGTGTGACAAAAAAATGTGATGTGCCCATATATGGGTACGATGACATCATATCACATACTATCAGACTGTATCAAAAAAAGTTAAACATGTTCAACTCCTATTTTCCATCACATTTTATGTGATGCCTTTTTGATGAAATTTGATAGTGTAGACAAAGCTTAAGGAAGGTCATTTAACCTGATCTCCCAGAAGTAGCTTCCGCCAGCTTGTGACCCCCTGAATTTCTTTAATAAATAATAGGGAAATTATTAGTATCTTTTATGTAATGGACTGCACCCTATGGATATACATGAAAAGGACCTACAAAGCGTAAACTTAATGTAAACCCATACATTTGTAGGACAACATATGTTGTCAGTTGTTAACTTTAAATGACACTCTGGAAGCTTCATTATCATGGTATTGACATTATACCATGCTACTTCTAGCCCTTATCTGTAACAGGTTTTAGTGAGAGCAGTATGTTGGTGGTCTAGGTATTGTATTGAGGTTCTAAATGATGATCAGATTTAATCAGATCACCCTCTTGCAATGATACTATCAAACAAATTAATAAAAAATATTCATTATTGTATTAAAACCTGCAAAAATTTTGACTGTGATTATGTATAACTATAAAAAATAGTATCAGCCAGTAGAAATGATATTCAGCACAAGATTTGGCTTTTGGCGTCATTCTCATTGTCGTCGTTGTCATCTTTTAAATCTCTAAATCTGAAATTTTGTGCTAAGACATTATCCCAAACTACATTTGAATCAAATAATATTATTATTTTTTTAGGGAGGAGGAACCTCAGGCTGTAAGCAACCCAGGTGCACAGTCAAGATCGTTTAAGATGTTGCAACAACACATCGGCGATGAAGTTGATGGTAAGAACTGACCAGCATTCATTTTTAATTGACAAAAACTATATTATTGTCAATAATTATTATAAACAATAACTTATAACATCATGATGATCATTAGTATCATCATTATAATCGTCATCATCATCATGATTTCATCATCATAATCATCATCATCATCATCAACATTATCTTCAACATATCATCATGATCATCATCAACATCATCATCATCATCATCATCATCCTCCATCATCTTCATAATCATCAACAATATCATCAGCATCATCATTATCCATCATCATCAACATTGGTGCTGGTTTGAGCTACTCCTTGTCCGGGGTTCGGTTGGTAGAAATATGTTTTCTCATGTTTACTTAAGACTGGAAGTCCAGTGTACACATCTAGGTCGTGTGCGCATTAAAGAACCCATTGTTTCTTTCGGAAGAGTAGGGGGTTACCCCGAAGCTGTGGTTCATTTTAGCTGCTGTCATTACGGAATAATGTGGACATGAAGTCAGCACCCCTTCACCACTGCTTAAGTAGTCACGGACCACACCCGTTCGCGATTCAGCACAATGGGGCTGCGAGTTGTGGGCTCTTACCCTTTACCTATCTCTATAGTCATCATCATCAACATTTCATCATTATCCTCATGCACACACCATTATCATCATCATAATCATAATCATTATCACAATATCATCTTCATCTTTCTCACAAATCATTATCACCACCGCCATTATCATTATCATAATCATAGCCATTCACCATTATATACTTTTTTGTTATATGCATTTATTATTAACTAAAACTAACCCATAACAACAAATATGTCTGCACGTATTTAGGTAATGTTCAGCATGCGCATACTGTCAACGTACCTCCATCAACAGATCCAACGGCCTACTCCTCAAACTCTACCGTTGAGACAGACAAACTCAAGTATCCGTCTTATTTCAAGAGAATCGAGGCTCCGTTTGGTAAAAAATATCAATGCTTGTAACAAAAAAAAAGCAGTTTAATTTTTTTTTTTTCTGCTAAGCTCATTAACTTGCAGTCATAGGTGATTACAAGATGTTGTCAGCTGGTGTGGGATCTATGTATTGTTAAAAGAATTGTGTTTGTAAATTTTTTTGTCGGTTTTCAAATTAAAACTTGCTGTTCATTAAATATGGATAACTTTCAATTTGTTGGAGAAATCGTAGCAATTGATTTGTTTTCTGCATATAGTATGTCATCAATTTAGAAATGAGAGTATGAAAACTTTGAAGATGAACAAATGTAGTTTAAATTATTTAATAATAATAATGAAAACTTAATTATGGAAATACTTGTTCACCTGTCTCTTATACACATCTTATGTATGTATATATATGTATGTATATAATTTGGCGCGTTGTTCTATTCGAGCGCCGCAGACATGATCCGGGTGGAGGGTTAATAATAATTAATAATTAATAATAATAAATAATAATAATAGTTAATAATTAATAATGATTAATAATGATAAATAATAATTAATAATAATTAATAAATAATAATAAATAATAATAAATAATAATAAATAATAATAAATAATAATAAATAATTAATAATTAATAATAAATAATAATAATTACTATAGTATTGAATTTCAATGTACATTATAGTATGCTGAATGATACATAAAACATTATAAATATCAATGTTGATAAAGCCAGAGCAACTGCACAGTCAATGCTTATAGAGTAGTCTTCATAAGACCAATAAAAAAGTTCTGAAATCTGTATTTCATATTTAATCCTAAGGTTCTCAATGAAGGGCTGAAGTGAAAATGTATACTATACTTGGACTGTGCCATATTCTAAAATTCAATAAGGAAATTGTATCACTATTTATTATTTGTATGAAATTTTATGAAATGTTGATTACTCTATTGTTTTTTTTTTTTCATGGATTTTAGGGCCTAGTGGTATGACGAACGGAGCCAAGCCAGCCGGTATGAAGTCCGTCAAAGCTCCTACAACAAATCCCAATGCCGGGTCCAAGCCAGCATCATCGGGACAGCTTCCAATTTGCTTCCGATGCCAAATAGGAATTGTGTAAGTTAGCACTATTGTAGTGATAATAAATAATTCATCTTATATTTGGCATTATGGAAGATCTTTACATTTTTTAGCTTTTTGCTTACACCCTAACTATGAGCAGGTTTGTGTATTAATAAACTTGGCCAGTTTGTTGAAAAATAGCTGTAATGGAGGACGTTCATGTTCAACAGATATGGATGCAGGGCTCAGTTAAATGATTACATAGACATGTGGGACTGTTACTGTCGCACATAAATTCACCAAAATGACATTCACTAGTAAATATAATTGCTGATAATATTGTATGTTACTTAAATCATATTTTTGCAATTTAATTTAGTGGACCATTTGTGAACCTGAAGGGGAAATCGTTGCATCCAGATTGTTTTGTTTGTGAAGCTTGTAATTGCAGTCTAAGGAACAAAGGTAACGTTTACTACATGCGATGATGATGTAATGATAGTGATAATAACAATGACAATTTCATATTGTATCTGTATAAATTAGGTGAACTATGAAATTGATGGTGGTAATGATGATGATGATGATGCTGATGATAATGGTGATAAAAATGCTGATAATGATAATGAGAATTAGGCAGATGAAGATGATTATTGTGATGATGATTTGACAAGGACAATGATGACAACGTCTCTGATTCTGATAACTATCAAGACGATGATGAATATGTTGCTCTTCATGATAATGATGATATTGATCTGTTTGATGATGATTGATATAAATAAATGAAGATAACCTGGAGAATAATGCTCATAAATTGCAAGAGTCAGATGCAATTTAATGTGGTTGGATTTATGTAGCTTTATACCCAAGTCTCAGAGCGCTTGAGATGTGAACTAGCTCTTGTACAGTAACTTTGTTCTCCCCTAGGGTCTCTTCGTGTCTAAGCTACCCGGTAAACCAGTACCAGCTATCTTTCATCTGTCCACAACAATGATGATGGTCATGAAATTAATCTTTAATTTTAATCAGTATATTTGTTACCTATTGTTTCCCCAGGATATTTTACAGTTGCAGGAAAAATGTATTGTGAACAAGATGCTAAAGCCAAGCAGATAGAGCAACAACAGCAGAAGCAATCACCAGCACCAGCCCAAGTTGCACCCAAAAGGTAAGCGAATGCTAGCTAGGCCTGGCAGTACCAGCCTAAATTGCACCCAATAGGTAGGCAAATACTATAGTACATTAGCTCTAGCACCAGCCAGATTGCACCCAAAATAATCAGTTGCCAGCCTTTAGCAACAGTACAAGTTGCATCCAAACCATAGGCAGTCAAACCCCAGGCACCAGCTTCAAGGTGCACTAACGGTAAGCAGTTTCCAGCCACCTCCAGAGTAACCCCAAGTTACTCACAAAAGTAAAGCAGTCACCAGCCTCACCCCCAGCGCCAGCTCGTGCTGTTCCCAAAACGTAAGAGTCTGCCAGCCAAGCCCACCAGCTCTAGCCCACGTTGTGCCTCAAAAATAAGCAATAAGCCCACTGCCAGTGCAGGTTTCTCTTTAAAAGAAAGGAAAGTAGGCAATCACCAAACTTAACCCTAACACCTGCCCATGTTTTTAATATGTAGGCCTACCATTTTATGTGATTTTTAAGAGTGTTTTAGAGTGGGTTACTGCGGGCTGGCTAAAAAAAAAAAACAACAGATTTTAGGAAGGTTTCTTTAAAATACGATTTCCTGTTGCAGTAGAAACAGTACCCATATATAAAAACACAATCTTTTTTGTGCCAAAATCAATTCCGTGTTCATCAGGCCAAGGACGATTTCTTGTGGAGGAATTTAGTTGTTGTCATGGTAATCTTATTACCAGCCAATGAGAAGAGAACTGTTTCACCATTAGATCAAGCTTAGTGTTTAATCTTGCTATCAAATATACAGAAAAATACATATCTACTGATAACATTTTTGGAACCATTTTTTCATTGACATTCCCCATAGAATGTGTTGTGTTGCACTTGTTGTAAATTTAAAGCAAAAATAGATAAGAACATTTACTGCAATAATAAAATAGGTTATCGTTATTTTCTAGTGCATGTATTTCAATAACTCTGTATGTACGGAGATACTGAAAAAAAATGAAACCTAATTACTTCTACACCGCATACTATTAATAACTTGTTTTGAATGGAACCTATCTTATCTGTCGACACTTTAAAGGACGTAATACATTAGAGAATGTATCAACTTCGACATTTGAAGGTACTTTGACCTTTTATCTGTGCATTCCATTAGAACCTCCACTCTCATAGTTGTGATGTCAGTTTCAAAAGCATCCAATGAAAACTGCATCTCAACCTAGAGGCAAACTGTCTGTCTACGCTCTCTGTAGACTAAACAAATGTCAAGTATTTTAAAATTCAAATGCCAAATTACAGGAAATTAATCCAATTGTTAATTGCAATCCACTTGAAAAAATTATTGAATTCCATCAACATTGTGCAATTTTATAGCACAAATTTGTCTAAATTAAGACAAATTACTTAAGCAGATTTGCGTATGTCTTCTAGGTATACACTTGCTGCAATTGGACACTAATTGGATTGAGTTGAGATTAGGCTTATAACTTGGGGCTAGAATATGCATACAATCGGCCTGCAGGCCCAGCTAGGGTTGATAGGTCTAATTAGAACATAGACCAAAAAAGGCCTAGGGAAGATTAGGTAGCCCAGGGGTTGGACCAACATGCATTTTGATGCTAAATTTCAATACAGTTTTATTTCACGGTTGGTTTTATTAAACTTTCAGAATTGTTATCAGAGGCACACAGTTTTTAACAAACTTTTAAAGTTTAGGGGCTTATAGTATACCCGATTGGATCCCATGCATGAAAATTATTTTAAGTTAAGGGGTAGGTTTATCCCTGGTGTGTGCTTATACCCCAAAATGACAAGTTCCAAAGACCTCCTGAAGCACTTCCTCGTAAGCCAGGCCCTCACTGTTTTGTAAGACTGTCGGCCTACGAACTCAACTCTGCTCGCTGTTAGCTCTAGATGACACAATGCTATCTGCTGTCAGCAGCCTGAACGGATTTTCATTAGAAACGATTCGTTGCGTGCACATCGTGGCATTATGTTCTCCATAGCATGCATTGTACGACACTGCGTGCACATCGTGGTGGTACGTTCTCCGTAGAATGCATCGACCGTCGTTCGGAGTAAGTGCCCGAATTTATACTAAACACAAACTAATTTTATTACATTATATTGTACGTCATGTATTTTACAATTTTATTAAAGATGATACCACAAGTGAACAGTTGAATTTTGAACTTTTTTATTTAATTATTTAATTTTTAAAAATCAGGTATGTAACGCTATTAATAGTATTATATTTAAAAGCTTAAAAATTATATAAAAAAGGGTACATTCCAAGAACTTTCTTGTAGTGAATCCTGAAATAAACAAATTTAATATAAGGCTTAAAAAAATGATATGTCAGATTTATATGTTGATACTAAAATAAAGTAGCAAAATTCATACTAGGCAGCTATACAAAATGATTATATTATATCTCCAATATGAAATGCTGATGTCTTCAATAATTACGTTTCAAGGAAGCTTCGAAAGTACAGTATTTATAATATGTACAAGTGCAGCCTACTGAATATAAATAGCACAGATAGAAGGTGAAATGGCATTGGTTGAAGACCTCTGCTCTCAGCTGGATGCCACATAGTATACAGACAGTGATGGTCGTCACATGTCAACCTATGCATACTCATCAGATATTCATACTCCATAGACCACCAATATTGAGTGGACTCCCTAGCTTATTGAAAAAAAATAAACAGCTCACACCTAAGTCGGCTTCAAGTTAAAGAAAACAAATTGAGTGAAATCCCTAGATTGCTGAAATATCTTGCTTTTGCGTATGCTTATTTTTGCTTTTGCGCATGCTTATTTTTTTTATGTCACAATGTTTATGTCCAAAAAGTATAAAAGACAACAGCACATGCCATAGAAGTGTGCTTCAAGTTAAATAAAACAAATTGAGTGAACTCCTTAGATTGCTGAAATATCTCATATCTCACTTTTTTTTTAAAAGTTAAGTGAACTCCCTAGATTGCTGAAATATTCACTTTTGCTCATGCACATTTTTCTTGATTATGTCACCATGTTTATATCCGAAAAGTATTATTATAAAATGTTTCTTTATCTTTTTTCATTACTTTTTAAACTCCATCTGAAATAGATTTATATCATATATAATGTTTTTTTTATATATATATAGTGTTTTTTATGTTTTATGATGTTTTTTTATTTAATATTTCAGTGTTTCCAATGGTCAAGGTTCAATGAAGATAAATTTAAGTTCAGCTGCCAAACCAGCACCCCCAGTTCAGTCATACTCCCCCCAGCAACCCCAGACATTCTCACAGAAGCCCCCAAGGTAAGTGTCTAAGGTTCACACCATAGGTCCTACCTATTTCTTTGAAATACTGTACAGTATTCATAAACTCTCTCCCAAGGGAACATTTTGGTATATGCTTTTTGGGAAAATCAACCAAGCTTAAAATTTTAGTTTTCATCTCGGGTTAACTGCTTGCAATATTCCCATCTGGTCTACATATTTTCATTTTTTTTTTTTTAGAGATTTTTTTTTTATGTTCTAAAAACATATTTTTACGAGATTTAATAAAGCATTGCAGCATTTACACTGCAGCTAAAAATAGAGTTGAATAAACATTGTACTGTATTGGATCAATTGGAATGAAGTGTTTAATTAACCTGGACTTAATTCCCCCTGCTGAACAGGTGTAATATCACTATATCAATCAATATAAATATTGCAGATACACCTCTATACAGTAATTATGGTATATTTGTCATATGAAATTTGTTATAAAAATGCAAATCAAGTTTTCGTTTAAATTTATACTAACTTATTAATACGGTTGGTTTACCAAAATGTAATTTTACAAAAAATGTTATTAAAATATTGTACATTAAATGTGTTTGCTTATAACACATCCTTTCTTAATGCTGTCCACACCTTATAGTCTATTACCAAAATGATTAAATTATTTCATACTGATGCACCACACTTAATGGGTTACATTTTTTTTATATACGCATCTAATTATTGAAACAATGTACACTGGTGTGTACACACATATCTCTGCCTATTTCACCGAAATCATTAAAACATTTTACACAGATACTTCACAGAGTTTGATTGAAAATTTCAAACTGAGGTGTCCACACTTTGGTTGAAACATTTTAAGCTGAAGCATTTATACTTAACCCTGCCTATTATCAAAGTAATAATTGAAAATTTTATATTGATGTTTCCACACTTTAGGTAAGACTTCTTTTGTATCTTGTTTAGCGCACCTCTCCAACCTCAAACGATTGTGATTTTGAATAAAAATATAATTTTATTTTTGACCTGTTAGCGCACCGTTTACCACGAAAAAATTGAAATTACATAAGAAGTGAAATTTTATATTTATTTTATAACGCCTTCCACTCTCCTGAAATCTCCAAAAATAATATATATATA